TTGGGACATCTGCACTCCCAGGTCTGGGTGACATGACCAGGCTTCGCCCCTGTTTGGCCACTGCAGACTTTCCAAGGGTACATGGATTGCATGTTGTCTGTATGTATAGTGTTTATCAGTACCATCCCCCACTCTGCTAAATGACTGCTGAGAAAGAGTTACCACCTTTCCATACAAGATCTCTTGTTACATCTTTTACATCACAGGTGTCAAACTGGCAGCCCTCCAGCTGTTGCCAAACTACAAGTCCCATGAGGCATTGCAAGATTGACAGGTACAAGCTTGACTCCCAAAGGCAGAGGCATGATGGGACTTGTAGTTTTCATAATAGCTGGAGGGCCTCCAGTTTGACACCCCTATTCTACATTTTCTATAGATGGAGAAGCTGGATTTCTGCCCAGGTTTTTATAAGGTAAACCGAGAAATCTGGGATTATACTTGTATGCAGTAACACCGTCATGATTTTATCTTTTAATACATTGTTGATGACATTTTTGATGACACAGGAGTTTTAATAGGCAGGGTATTTTAAACTGTTTGCTGCCCCAGTTAATAGGCTGAAACAGTCTCAAGGAGGCTTGGTCCTGGAAGATTTCCAGAGAAGGAATTCTGGTGAGTGTATTCCTAGAATTGAAGATGCTGGTCTAGGCTTTTTGACTCTTGTACCGATAACTGCATTGGCCTAGGCTTTTTTATTTTTGTACTGATAATAACCTGCACTGGACTAGGCTTTAGGATGCTTGTACTAGTATTAACCTGCACTGGACTAGGCTTTCCGACTCTTGTACTGATAATAACCTGCACTGTACTAGGCTTTCCGACTCTTGTACTGATAATAACCTGCACTGGACTAGGCTTTCTGACTCTTGTACTGGTAATAACCTGCACTGGACTAGCTTTCTGACTCTCTTGATAATGACCTGTACGCAATTAGGGTTCTGAATAATGACCTGCCCTGCACATTCTGACTTTTGTACCAACAAGGGCCTTTCAAGATTCTTTCTCAATTGAGCCAATAATGGACCTGCACTGGACTAGGCTTTCTGGGTATTGATCATAATCTGCTTGGTAGGTCACCTTTTGCCAAAATGTCTACCTGAACTAGGCTAGCCACTATGGCCTACATTAGGCTTTTTGGACTTTTTGTACCTACACTGGACTAGGCTTTTTGGACCTTGTTCAGTAGTAGCCTACACTGGACTAGGCTTTCTGGATCTTGTTCCATTATGGCCTACACTGGACTAGGCTTTCTGGACCTTGTTGCAGTAGTGGCCTACACTGGACTTGGCTTTCTGGACCTGCAGTTGGCCTACACTGATAGGCTTTCTGGAATGCAGTAGTGCACTGGACTAGGTTTTCTGACCTTGTTCCTTAGTTGCCTACAACTAGGCTTTTGGAGTCCAGTACTCTGAACTAGGCTTTCTGACCTTGTTCCACTATACACTGTAGGCTTTCTGGACCTTGTTCCAATAGTGGCCTACACTGGACTAGGCTTTTTGGACCTTGTTGCAGTAGTGGCCTACACTGGACTAGGCTTTCTGGACCTTGTTGCAGTAGTAGCCTACACTGGACTAGGCTTTCTGGACCTTGTTCCAGTAGTGGCCTACACTGGACTAGGCTTTCTGGACCTTGTTCCAGTAGTGGCCTACACTGGACTAGGCTTTCTGGACCTTGTTCCAGTAGTGGCCTACACTGGACTAGCTTTCTGGACCTTGTTCCACTAGTGGCCTACACTGGACTAGGCTTTCTGGACCTTGTTGCAGTAGTGGCCTACCCTGGACTAGGCTTTCTGGCCATTGTAAAGAAAAATGCCTTTTTTGTAAAAATGTGATAATCTTATGATTCACTGGTTTATTTAAAAGAAAAAAAAAACAAAACAAAACATTGGCCTGATGATAGAAAAATGTTGAAAAAATCTGCCTGCCATGGTGTCAGCCTCATTGTCCTTTACCCAATCTTGCTGAATAATGCACCTTATAAATTGTTGGGGTTAAATGTATGAACGCTCTTCTTTAAATCTTGTTTTCTGTATTTCATACAGTTTGTTCCAACTATCATACTTTGTGCATGTTCTTTTACTATACTTGCTGTTTTAGAAATTATGGAAGTGATCTGAAATAAGAAGTATTTGCTAAAAAAAAAAAAAAAATATTAGCCAAATAAGATCAAATGATATCCTCTGTAAGGACGAAACATGCAGCAGAGTGTGTTTGTTATCGTTGGCCTTTCCTCCCAAACGTGGTGTGCTCCATCTGCCATTGGCTTCTTGCAGTCTGACATAGGTTTTCCATTTATTGTGTTGCCTTTTATATTATTTGCAACATTTTGTTTTGTTTTTGTTTTTTTGTGTTTACTACGTATTTTATGTTGATCATTGGTTTTCATCGTTCACATTCAGCATATGTAGGAGCTCATTTATAAAAACTAGTGCAAAGGAAAATGTCTATATTTTTTTTTTTTTTTTTTTTATGATCTGTTACTATGTAGGTGACCTACAAGTGATGTTTTTTCCGTTTGCTCTAGTTTACATAAATGCTCCCCTTGTCATGCACTTCTGTACCTTATTTGCAGATGAGTCTTTGGCTTTTTCCCAACTAAGAAAAAAAAACCACACACATAGTAACACAAATTGTCCAACATTATATTAGAGGCAGTAAAGATCTTATTGTTTTACAGTTATTATCACAAGTTCTAGCAGGATATATGGTGTTGGTCAGAATTACTAGGCACTGTTTTTTTATTTAATAAATAGTATTAGCTGTATTTAAAGCTAAACTCCAGGCAAAAATCTTCTTACAGAGTTGATATGTATATAATAATATATATCCCGTCTAATCTTAAATACAAATTTGTGGTTGTGTTAAGCTAGTCTTATGCTTCAGGCACCTGAGTTAGGCTGGCCATACACTATACAATTTTCCGTCCAATTTCCTTTAGACTTGCCTTCAACTATGTAGTGCAAGAGCCTGCCTAATTGGATACAATTGAAAGTGTTGTTAGGTTTTACCTCATATTATATGGTTTCTGCTAAACCAAAAATCTCAAGAAAATTGTATAATGTATGGCCAGCCTAAGTCTAATTGGCCGAGTTGGTGACTACCTATTTCTTCACTGCTGCTTTAATCCTCAGCCTGTGTATTAGACACCTATTTTTGATAGTGTTTTTTTCCCCTACTCTTTGGACCTTATGCACATGTGTGCATTTGCCTATATAACCCAAAAACTGGGCATATTTCTGTGCATATAGCCCGCTTCCAGCAACCTGTTAAATACATGACAGGCTGAAATATGCTGCAGCTGTACGCACATTGGAGCGGTACTGGCATACATGGCCGTAGGATTTATGCCCTGAACACAGAATGTACGTACTGGCATGGATGTGCGTACAGCCAAAACATGTTTCACCCTGTCATTGGTTTCAGCAGGCTGCTGTCAGCCGGCTCTAAGCATTAGGTGTAACTAGACCAGTAGTTCTCAACCTGTGGGTCGCGACCCCTTTGGGGGTCGAACGACCCTTTCACAGGGGTCGCCTAAGACCATCGGAAAACACATATTTCTGATGTGTAAAGAGCAGCTACTGTGTAGAAAGCAGCTGCTGTGTTGAAAGCAGCTACTCTGTTAAAAGCAGCTACTGTGCTGAAAGCAGCAGTGTTGGAGGTAAAACGACACTTCATGAATTATAATTACTGGGTAAACAATTTTATGGTTGGGGGTCACCACAACATGAGGAACTGTATTAAAGGGTCACGGCATTAGGAAGCTTGAGAACCACTGAACTAGAGGGTGCTGAAATATGCCTGTTAGGCAAACGCAGCCTTGTGATTTGAAGCTTTAATGGATTAGCAGATGTTTTGAAGGACAAAATAAGCACAGCAGCTACAAAGCTTGTTCAAAGTAAGGGCTCGTTCACACTTCACTGTTTTACCAATGCGTTGGTCCGGCGTTTGCGGAGCGTTATTTAACGCTCCGCAAACGCCTCATGCGTGGTTTAGCGGTGGTTGCTAGGCATTTGCAGAGCAAAAATGGTGTTACTGCTCCGCAAACGCTCTGCAACCGCGTCGCAAACGCCGGCCGGCCGCTTGCGGAGCGGCACCATAGACAAGAATCGGAGGCTTCAACGCCTCCTGACTTGACCAGAAGCGTCCGTTTTGCCGCACCGCGACGCTACTGCTCCCGTTAGAACAGCACCATGTGCTGCAATGGCTAGCAATTGTCCGAGGCGTTTGGGAAGCGGTAAAAACGCTTCCCAAACGCCTCTCTGCCGCCTGCACACAGCGCTAGTGTGAACGTAGCCTGAGTTCTAGACCTGCCGCTTGTACACAACGACAATTCTATTTCTGCCCTTTGCGAATTGGGAATTCGTGTTTTTAGTCTTTTTTTAAATAAGATTTTTACAACTTGAAAAGCTAGGATACAGTCTACTTTTTAAAAAGAGGTAGTTAAAGTTTGGTCTCCAGTCTGGTTGATCCCATTTAGAAAAGGAAAATACTAATCTTTTATAAAGCAAAATACAATTTAAAATTCAAGTACACATATTATTTCTTCTCCTGTTGCTTAAGCTCCTTGTCAGACAGCTTGAACTGAATTTGGTTTGATTAGATTTATCTCCATAGCATAAGATGACATTCATTAGTTTGCTAAGCCAACTCTGCTGCATGCTTTCATAAGTTCCATTAGACTGCATGCTTTCTGTTCCAGTACAAACTGTATAGATATTTTTCCACACCCATCCTTGCTTTTTATTTTTATTTTTGTTTCCCTTTTCTTGGTTGGATGCCTGTGTGTGTTTAATCCAAAACCCTGTCCAGTCCTGGAGTTTGAGCTACGGAAAGCCAAGGAGACCATTCAGGCCCTCAGGGTCAACTTGACACTGGCTGCAGGTGGCGTACATACAATTTTTTTCTTTCTTCCTAGTTCTTTAATAAATTATGGTTAATAATTTGATGACCAGTATGATATTCTCTCTAAGTAGATTCATTTGTTTTATTTCTGTATTGCAGAAAATGAAGTTCCTTTGCAGGAACGAAAGAATTATAAATCGAGTCCTGAAATTCAGGTATGATTTGTATTCATTTTGTTTGGAAGATATTTAAAAAGATCTTTTATTCTAGAATTCTGCTTTGTCGCATGTGTTTTTCAGTAAGTTGCTAAACTGTTCATTGTTCGGTCATTGAGTATTAGTGAATATTAGCTTGCATTCATATTTGCATAGCCAGGTGATTTTAGAGGTTTTTTTGTTTTTTTACCTACTTGTAGCACAGGAGCAGAATCATGCAATTTTGTCCCCACCAGGAGCGGACTGACCATTTGGAAACTCGGCGCTGCCCGGGGGCCCCATGAGATGCCCCTGGTACCTTTTTCATAGGCTTTTTTTAGTTTGTGCAAGGACACAGGGGCCCCATGATCCCCTATTGCCCGGGGGCCCCATGAGTTGTCAGTCTGCCCCTGATCCCCACAGACTTTTAAGTGGGAGCTTCTGAAAAATAAATGTAAACACACATTTTTCAAACTTTTTCAGGTGCTTATTAAAGGTTAAGTCCACCTGTTATACCATGTTAAATATGGCACTATTTTGGGTGGCGACTGTGACTTTCTGATTTATGGCACAGCGGTGTATGGCTCCAGCCGCCTAGACGCCCCATTCATCACAGAGATCTGTGGATGAACAAACTACAAGGCCTATCTGCCACTGCAGCAGAGGAACCTTTATCGATCAGTGGAAGATCACTGCATTTGCAGTACAGTGATATGTTCTCCAGCTCCATAACTGAAAGTCCATAGTTTGGACATAGAGCAGGAGGAAGATTCTGCAGAAGCCTAGTGTTGCACTTGTGATCCACTGATTGGATTATCAATGCTTTGCAGGCTCAACCTTTTTATTTCTTGGAAAGGTGGAGTTAGACTGGCCATACGCTATACAATTTTCTGTCCAATTTTTGCCCAATTTCCTTTAGATTTACCTTCAACTATGTAGTGCAAGGGCCTGTCTAATTGGATACAACTGAACGTGTTGTTTAGGTTTGACCTCATATTATATAGTTTTTGGTAAATCTAAAGCAAAATTGTATAATTTAATGGCCAGCATTAGCATTTAAAGGCTATGGGGCCAAAAACTTGCAATTGTTGTGGCTGTTGAGCACTGTACGAATGAAAAATATTTTTTTAGCATACACAATCGGAGGGAAATGTATTCTTAAAGTATTATATGTTGGCATGTGCTTCTCAGGATGTTGTTGGTGTGTGTGGTCTTCATATATACATATGTCAGAGGGCTGAAGCAGAGAAACGATATACAGTATGTCAATAAACTGTATGCAGACTATAATCTCATCGTAGAGACCAGAACTGACATTGATATCCTAAACTGCTCTGTCTAAGGAAACACTTTGTTTCCTATTAGTAATATTGTTTCCTTTTGATTGCTGTGCTGTACAGACTCCTCACCATCATGCTGTTTAGGTAACTTCAAGCAGACAGTCTTTATAATCCGCTGCTGTTTGGAAAATTCACTGTAACCATATTAGCTCTGAAATCAGTTTTATCCACGCATTATTGTAAAACCATGACACCTTTTTCAGAAAGTGACTGCATTTTGGTGAATAACCATGAGAATTGCAAAAAACAGAATGTTCGTTTTATGCTGGGTAAACAAAAATTATCAACCAGAAAATGAGAGATGATTTTTCTTTTCAAGGCCCTGTGATGGTTACTCTATAGGCATCCCAGTGTTTTTTACACACCAGTTACATCAAGCCCGACTCTGAAATCGTGCAACTTCACTGTAAGTCGCACGATTTCAAAGTCTGGTGAGATGCCGAGTTCAGGTGCGATTTGCAAGACATCTAACACAGATCGCACCAAAACTAGTGCATGTACTATAGAAATCGGAACCGCACTGATTTCACCGCTTTAATTGTGGACAGTAGGGTGCAACTTGGCATACGATTTGCAAGTCGCATGGCATGCAAATTGCATGCCAAGTCACACCTGATGTGTCCAGGGTGTAAGTCCAGTTAATCTCTGGTGAGTGATGGTTGTGAGATATCTATGGAAGCTGTATGCTTATGGAGCAGTCAGTCCAGGACGGGTTTATCTCACAAGGCATGTAACATGCGTTTTTTCATTTGCAAAAATAAAAAGTATAAAGCAGGGTTTCTCAACTAGGGTTCCCCAGAGGTTGCTAGGGGTTCTTTGAGCAATTTCTGCCTCTCCCAGATAAGTTCCCACTGACACCACTGATCCTTTTAAGTGATATTAAAAGCTTGCTTTTTTTTTTTTTTTTTTTTAAACAAACACATTATACTTACCTGCTCTCTGCAGTGGTTTTGTACAGAGCAGCCAAGATCCTAGTCTTCTCAGGTCCCCCGCTGGTACTCCTGGCCTGTCCCTCCTGTTGGGTGCCCCCATAGCAAGTTGCTTGTGTGTCCATTCACACACACAGCCGCAGCTTGGCCCCACCCCCCCTCTTTTCTCATTGGCTCCAGCTGCTGTCTCAGCCAATGAGGAGCGGAAGTCCCGGGATTGCTGAGACTCCAGTGCCCATTGCTGGATCGAGAGGGGACTTAGGTGAGTATTAGGGGGGCTGGGAAGCTGCTGCCCAGAGAAGGTTTTTTTTACCTTCATGCGTTGAATGCATGAAGGCAAAAAGCCTTGAGCCTTTATAACCACTTGAAGTTTCTGTAAAGGGAGTGTTCTTCCTACTGACCACTACACTAATGTATTGTGAGTTGTCGATATAGTAGTAGGGGTTTCCTGAGACCAGAAAGTTATTTCAAGGGTTCCTTTATGTTGAAAAGGCTGAGAAAGGTTGGTTTAAAGGCTAACTTTCACTTTTTGCACTGTATTTGGGGAAATGGGTCTCTCACCTCCCCTCTTCATGACAGCGTGTCCCTGCTGCTGTCACTTTTGAGCCACATTGTTCATTCGCAGAGAACTGTCAATGATTGAACTATGGCAGACGGACTTGTACTTCTTGATAGAGAAGTCCATCATCCATAGTCCATCATCACTTCCTCTAGCTCTTCAACTGAAAGCCCATACCTCAGTACAGACCGAGAGCTGAAGGAAGTTTCTGCAAGTGTCTGACATTGCACCCATGATCCACTGTTTGCAGTTGCAATGCTTTGCTTCTCCTGTGCCAAAAAAAAAAAAAATGAACATTTTTCTTTTCCTTCAAATATACAGAATGTGCATTTTGTTTTCTAAAAGTTAGACTTTAATAGGGTGCTAGGTACTGGCTATCAGTTTTAGGTGACTTGGATTATTTATATCCTGGGATATGTTCATGCCCAATCTGTTGGTATTTTTAGGGTCCATGCACAGTGGGTATAAAAAATGCTGCTTATATGGGCATATTTTGTGTGTTGTTTTTTTTTTTTTTTTTTTTTATTTCTTAGTGGTAGAAGCAGCTCTATGTGTCCAGGCATATTTTTAGAGGCAGAAAAAGAAAATCAGAATACCATTTTTGAGGGGAGCTTTTGGGCAGACAAAACGCATAACTCTTAATATAAACGCGCATAAATGTGGCGATTGCTCATTTTTAATTTTCACTTGGAAACACCAGAGGGGAATGTTTTGGGAAAAACTCTTATGTAAGCAAATGCCCATAAATACTCAAACTCAAAAGAAGCCACTATGAGCATTTTTTGTGCTGCTTTTTCTGCCAGAGGTTCTGGCATTTTTCTGCCCCTAGTGTGTATGGACCCTTACAGTTTGCCATCAGTAGCACAGGTTTGCTTTAATATGCAAACAGCTTTTCAATAATGCTCCCCATCCCCAGCATATGCTTATATTTAATTTGCTTCTCCGCTACAACTTATGGGAACATGTGACAAAGCTGGGCCAATCTGCACTATTACACAGGAAATTCATAGCCCTGTGTAAAGTCGAATTCCAGTGCCGAACAAAACAGCGGGAGAGGGAAAGGAAGGTGTTTATCCTTCTGGGTAGAACTAAAGCCAGTTATAGACGGAGTGATTTTCTTTCCTGCAATCCTGGTTTGTTGATGGGAGAATTGAGCAATTTTCTTTCCTGCACAGTCGGTGTTAATGGGGGAATCCCTCCCACAGAACCATTGTGTTCTCCCTCTCGGCGGGGAAAGTGGTCCCTGCCAGGAGAAAACCGTGATTACTGCTAGTGGCTAAAACAGCCACTAGCAATAATCACATGTAAAATCAGACAGGCTGGCTGTGCCCAAGTTGATCGATCATTTTGGGTACATTCAGCCTTCTCATACATGGTCCTTGCTAAACTGGCCAAGATTCGCACTGTCTACGGCTGGCTTTCGTTAAAATAAACGTCAGTTTGTTTGTATTGGCACAATGAAGGTTTACTTAACAGTAACTTTTTTTTTTTTTTTTCTTCTTTTAATTTTTTGAAAGTAAAGTTGTAAACCTAGTCTATTAACAGAGGGCAGCACTGGAGGTCTCTGCTTTTCAACCTCATTCTGGCCATACAAGAGTAGCTTGTTGGCCACTGGAAGTGCACTGCTTTTCAATACAATAAAAATAACTGAATCATAGCCAGCCTTCCGAAATATAAATTCTGTTCAGCAAGTGTGCTCACTTAGTGCCCTAGTGCTCTCCCTCTGGTATGCATTCAGAAGTAGTAACACAAAAAAGTGTCTGGGCTTATTTATATACTACAGGTTCTTATATATCTTATTTTCAGTTTTGGGTTTAACCTAAGGTGATATTAACCAATAGACAAACAAATGAAATCAGCGCTCAAATCTTCATGCAGACCAGGGAATTGAGAATGCCAAAAACGAGGAGGTGCTGCCCTTCAAAGAATGGGAAATCTGAATACTAGTAAACAAAAACAGACAAGGGCGCACTCTCATCATGCATTACCGTGGAGACCCACGTATTTATTAAATGAAATAAAATATACTCACAAACCAATGAGCATAAAAAACATTAAAATGATCCGCAACCGCAGCGGATGCAATACTGTGCCCTTGGTGTGGATAAGCTGATGCGGTTCGGGAAACGGAATCCCTTCCTCAGAGCTTTATTCTCATTGGTTTGTGAGTATATTTTATTTCATTTAATAAAT